CTACTCACGTTAATGAGAACACTATAATACTAATACTGATACTAATAAGAGGAGGATGAGAAAGAGGGGCAGGAGGCCAAAGTGGAGGAGGAGGAGGAGGAGGCGGAGTCGGAGGAGGCGGAGGAGGAGGAGGAGGCGGAGGCGGCGGAGGCGGAAGCGGATGCGGACGAGGAGGAGGAGGAGCCGGAGGAGGTGGTGGAGAAGGAGGAGGAGGAGGAGATGATAGGAGGAGCGGAAGAGGGCTGAAGCTGAGTGGAGGCGGATGCGAGGCGGAGGCGGAGTGATGGAGGAGGCGGGGAGGAGGAGCGGAGGAGAGGCGCAGGATTAGGCGGCTGAGGCGGAGGCGGAGGCGGAGGCGGAGGCGGAGCGGAAGCGGAGGTGGAGGCGGAGGCGGCGGGCGGATGAGGAACAGGAGGGATGAGGGAGGGAGCAAGAGGAGGAGAGGAGAGGAGGAGGAGAGGAGGAGTAGGAGTAGGTGAGGAGGGGAGAGCGTGGAATAGGGAAGGCCAGGCCGCCGTTGTCGGCATTCCTTACTCCCGGGAGTTCCCCGCCGTCCCAGCCTGGAGTTCGCTCGCCGTCGCAGTCGCGGTTCCTCGTTGTAGGCGTCGGCGATCGGCGCCGGCTTTGGCGTCGGGCGTCGGCGTTGTTGTCGTTTTTCGTCGGTCGTCGTCGTCGTCGTACGTCGTCGCGTCGTCGTCGTCGTCGTCTTCGTCGTCGCCGCCGCAGCCGCCGCCGCAGCCGCCGCCGTCGCCGCCGTCGTCGTCGTCGTTGTCGTCGTCGTCGTCGTCCTCGTGTCTGCCACCGTCGTCGTCGTTGCCGCCCTCGTCGTCGTCAGCTCCGTCGTCGGCGCCGTCGTTGGCGTTGGCGTCGTCGTCGTCGCCGCTGCCGCCGCTGCCCCTCCGCGAGGGCTCCCGGCCGCCTTCGGCCTCGAGGTGGCTGAGGAGCTGCGCGCCTACCGCGCGGGTCTGCTGCAGCAGGCCTCATCCCAGGGCCACACGGACACGGCCTGGCAGCACTCGGTGAAGTGCGCCGCCCGCCGCCGCTGCCGCCGCCGCCGCCGCCGCCGCCGGCGGTGTCGTCGTCGTCGTCGTCGTCGTCGTCGTCGTCGTCGTCGTCGTCGTCGTCGTCGTCCTTTTGTCGCCGTCGTCGTCGTCGGATCCCCCCCCGCTTTTCCTCGAGGCCCTGCGGGCTCCCGCGCTCCAGACTTGAGTAGGGCCGAGGGTCAGCGAGCGCCTTCATCTGCAGGACCATCAACAACGGGACCTCAAGGTGGTCAAACGCCTCGTCGGCTAAGCCGGCGGAGATGTGCAACATCCAACCATTCGCTTATGTCCAAAGTTTTGGCTTGACGCCGGGTTTGGTGCATTAGCTGCAGCTTGACCGAACAGGTTGGTTGCGCCCTTTGACGTCCGTTTGCGGTGTTCTGCAGACATGACCCCCCAGCCCTACTCAAGTACCCCCGCTGGCTCTCTGCTCACTTCTTGCTGGCGTCGGCGTCGGCGTCGGCGTCGACGTTGGTGCCGTCGGTGCCGTCGTCGTCGGGCACTAGTTCACCATGGCGGGTCCATCCCGCAAGCTGTTTCGAACGTGCTCCAGGACAGGCGGGTTGGTGGGGGGGTGGTCGGCTCGTTCGCTTCTTGTTCGCTCGTCCGTCTTCTCGCTCTTCCGCCTTCCTCTTCATGCTTCGTTACTTGTTCGTTATTCCCTTCCTGTTTCTTATTGCGGATCATCATGCTTTTTTCCCTGCTTGTCCATGATCGTCTTCATGGTGTCCTGTATTTGTTCGTTAGTCATTTCTCATGGCCAGCCACGCGAACACATGACACATAAAGTATTTGTCGTCGTTCTGTTTCCTTGTACGTCCCCATCTCCCTTCACGGCTCTGTACGCCCGTAAGACCTTATATGAGTTCTGGCGCCCGCCGTTCCCGGAGGACGAGGTTCGATCGCTGGCGTCGGAGCTTAAGAGACGGGGTCAATGCAAACGGGGGTCAGCCAGGGCACCGGATCCTGCAGGCAGGATACTGCGAAGACCCCCTTTGGCTGACCCAGGTTAGCGAGCCGCTCGTGGCCGCGGGGCGGCCGCGCATATTCGCTGACCAAGGTTTGCGAAGCCCTGCGTTGCAGTTTTTTTGTCCTGCATTGCAGTTTTTGGTTTCCTGCTGACCCGGGTCAGATTGACCCGGGTTAGCAGATCCCCGATGGCGGACGCATGCTCGCACGTGTGCTCCCTGCCGTCCCGAGCAGTTCCTTTCCAGGCAGGGGGAGTCGCTTTCTCCTCTCTCTGCCCGCCTCCTGCTTCCCCCCCCCTCCCTGAACACTCTGTAGCGAACCGCCCCACCAACACCAGAAATCTGCTCTTTCCTCGCGTGTGTGTGTGTGTGTGTGTGTGTGTTTGTGCGTGTTTGTTTGTGTGTGTGTATGTGTGTGTGTGTGTGTGCAGTCTGCATGATCCATTCGACCAAGGTGACGCAACCAAAAGGAGTGTAACCATCTAGGAGTGTAACCATATAGGAGGAGGCAACGGAGGATGAGGAGGTGGTGGAGGAGGAGGAGGAGTAATGAGCATGAGGAAACGGAGGAGTATGAGCAGTAGCAGGTTAACGAGCACGATGGGGATCAGTGGAAAGAGAGAGGAGAAGAAGGGAGGATTGATATGGGAACGATGTGTAGCAGTAGTCAGATTAGAAGTCAATCTAGCAAGCTCGATCGACTTAGCGGGCCCCGCCCACTCCCCTTTTCCCTGCCAGAGCATAGCAAGACATTGAGGCACACATTGAATTTTGGGGCTGGCGTCTGCCCCCGATCTGGTGAATGGAAGGCGCTCGCTCGTGTGCGACACTGCATCGGAAGACTTGTCGGCGAAGGAAACGCTGCGCTGCGCCTGAGCGAAACCGCGTCCACTGATATCCTGGGTCCCGAGGCGAAAGCAACATTCCGCTTGTTGGCGTGCGACCCTGCATCCGACGGGAGGGCGAGGGAAAAACACGCACCGCGCCCAAGAGGGAACGCGACTTCAGGGATGACCGAAGCTCTATTCCAGGAAGAGCCTTTGCGGCGCTTCGGACGAGAGCGATATTTCGTTGTCTCGGGCGTGACCCCCAGCGCCGACGATTTGGCGAACAAGCGTCGAGCCCAGGCGGGAGCTCAACTTTCAGAAAAGAAACTGCGCGGCACTCCGGAGAGAGCGACGCCTTATCCTTTCGCTGGCGGAGTGCGCCGCGTCCCACTCACGCCACGCGTCTTGCAGTTTCGACGACAGCATGCCCCCACTGAATGAGGAGATGCGCCGCACCCAACGACGGGGCGCTGGCGGCCTCGCAGGGGCGGTCCATACATGTCGCGCGCAGGGTTTGTGGTTGTGGACGTAGGCTTTTTGCAATTCTCCCAACTTCGGCTTGCCTGCTTGTTCTTCGGAGAGAAGGGCCGTCCGTTGGCTGTTGGCCAGCTGGCTCCTCGCTCCTCGCGGCGCGGGCGCCGATGGATCGAGCAAGCTGTGCGTTGTGGCATGCCGTGTTGCGTTGTGCAACGCGCTGCCATGCATTGCGGTGCTTTGCGGCGTTTTTACCCAGGCTATTGCTATGCTGTCGTCACTCTTGGTATGCGACAGCACGTACTCTTGTGCTGTGGGATGCTGCGCAGGTGCAATGCTATGCTGTGCTATGCTGCGCCGTGCCATGCTATGCTCCGCTACGCTACGCTATGCATGTTTTGTTGTGCTATGCCACGCCATTGTTTGCAATTGCATGGTATGCCATGCTGAATTGTCCCATGCCAGCTTTGCACTGTTACGCCATTATATTAACTCTGGTATGCATGCAGCGCTATACCATGCTGTAACGCTCTCACATTTGTGAATGAAAGTTACGCGATGCTACCGCTGGGTGCTGGGCCAATCTACGAGACTGCTGTGCCATGCGGTGCTAATGCAGCATTCTACGACGCAATGCTGCACGCTGCTGCTGTGCCATGCTATATTCAGCTTTACGCTGTTTGTTGCCACAGTGTAGTATGGTTTGCGTTGCACGTCGCCTCATTATATTGCACCTCAGTGCGTTGCATTGCACATGTAGGCTTTCATCATACTCATACCTGCAAATGGGGGACGGGCTGGGTTCATTTGATGAGTAGGGTGGAGGGGAGCACGTCCCCGACCGCTCAAATACCGAGCCGCGAGTGGAGTGGGATTATCTTTAGTGGCGTTTGGCCCATCCTGCCGCCGTGCCTGGGACGTGGACCAGCTGCCTCTGACGAGCTCCTTGAGAGCTCCTGGGAGGCCTCTCGCGGGCCTCGTTGGGCCTCCCAGGGGTCTTCTTAGGGGGGGGCCCTCGGGGGCCTTGGGGGGCCTCCCGTGGGCCTCCTGGGGGCCTCTTGGGGGCCCCTTGGGGCCTCTTTGGGGCTTCCTGGAGGCCTCTCTGGGGCCTGCCGGGGGCCTCCTGGGCGCCTGCTGGCGGCCTCGGCGCCCATCGAGGAGGGAACGGCTCGAGTCGCTAGTTCGTGTTCCCCCTCCTTGGGCCCCTCTCGCAGCCGTCTTGGGCGCCTCGTGGGCCCTCTCGGGGACCTCGAGAACCGTCCCGGGGCGATGCCTTGGTCCAGACCTCCTGGACGCTCGGCAGGGCAAACGGCGAGTGTGCAACAGGCATCTGCAGCCGTGATCGCATGCTTTCCAACGAGCCCCAGGGCCTCCCGAGGCGGCCGACGAGATCCCCCAGAGGGCTCCAGGACGGGCCCTTTACCAATCCGAAGCGAGGTTCGACGCAAGCATTCCAACGCGCTCCAGTGGCCCCTGCAGCCGCCACGCGAGAGAAGGAAAGAGCTCCCGATACCCGCCGGGAACATGGGTCAGAAGCCGGGCGACGGCTGGGAAACCCGTGGCTGCTAAAACGGAGCTCCGGGAATTTGTTCCTTAAGCAGCCCGTTTATTGCTTGGTGCGCTGAGCTCGATTCCGTTTTTCCCAACCCTCCTGCGTTGGGTTCTCGTTTTGAATAGAGCACTGCTCGCGCGAACCTTCCTTCCTTCCCGTCCCTCTCTTCCCCGCTGCCTTTGAGGGGGGCCGCGATCTGTGAAACTGTCGCCACTTTCGAGGGCTGCTGAGGGGCCCAGCACAGTGGGTACCCACCGCAGACTCAAATTAGACCTCGCCATCCCTGGGGGGCTGCGATCTGTGAAACTGTCGCCACTTTCGATGCCTGCTGGGGGGCCCAGCACAGTGGGTACCCACGGCAGACTCAAATGGGACCTCGCCATCCCTGGGGGTTGCGATCTGCGAAACTGTCGCAACTTTCGAGGCCTGCTGGGGGGGGGCAGCACAGTGGGTACTCACGGCAGACTCAAATGGGACCTCGCCATCCCTGGGGGGCTGCGATCTGTGAAACTGTCGCCACTTTCGAGGGTTCCTGAGGGGCACAGCACAGTGGTACCCACCGCAGACTCAAATTCGACGCTGGTTTCGTCCTTGTTCTCCTCCTGCAGTCACCTTTCCTCCGCTGCTGCCGTGCTGATGGTTCGGCTTCCCGCACGTTTTTCTCCTGCTCTGCGTTCCCGACTCCCCATGTCCTCTTCGAGCCTGTAGTTGTCGCCCCTCGTCCTTGTATGGTTCTCCTGCGCATCATGCCATAGGCGCGTGTCCCAAGTAGCTTACACATCAAGTTGATTGTCCATGCAAGTTTCGGCCAACTCCTCGTTTCCATTGATACACATGGGTTGGTCACGTCAAGGGTCGTTTTTTTCCCCACTCCTGATTGGTTCTCAAAATCCAAGACACCCTCTCCTTCCCACACCTCCCCGCCTCCATCTTCCATACGCACATATTAGTTCTACACACACACCATACCATACCATAGTTCCTAACACACATACCATACCATACCATACCATACCACACCATACGTACCATACCGTACCATACCATACCATGGCGTACCATAGCATACCATACCATATCACACCAATGCCACACCGTACCATACCATACCATACCGCCAGTACCATACCATACCATATCATACCATACCGTACCATACCATACCTACCATACAATTCCATACCACTCCATACCGACAACCATACTACTTACATGGTTTCCTGCCCCTCCCACCCCTCCAGGGAGGCACCGCCTGAACGAGGAGGGTATCGGAAAACCATACTATTTACATGTTTCGTGCCCCCTACCACACTCCCAGGAGGCCCGCCTGAGCGAGGAGGTATCGGAAAACCGATACCGAGATTTTACATGGTTTTCGTGCCCTCTCCGCACACCTCCAGGGAGCCCCGCCTGAGCGAGGAGGGTATCGGAATACCATACTATTTACATGGTTTCGTGCCCCTCCCACCCCTCCAGGGAGGCCCCGCCTGAGCGAGGAGGGTATCGGAATACCATACTATTTCCATGGTTTCGTGCCCCTCCCACCCCTCCAGGGAGGCCCCGCCTGAGCGAGGAGGGTATCGGAATACCATACTATTTACATGTTTCGTGCCCCTCCCACCCCTCCAGGGAGGCCCCGCCTGAGCGAGGAGGGTATCGGAATACCATACTATTTACATGGTTTCGTGCCCCTCCCACCCCTGCCGGGAGGCCCCGCCTGAGCGAGGAGGGTATCGGAATACCATACTATTTACATGGTTTCGTGCCCCTCCCACCCCTCCAGGGAGGCCCCGCCTGAGCGAGGAGGGTATCGGAATACCATACTATTTACATGTTTTCGTGCCCCTCCCACCCCTCCAGGGAGGCCCCGCCTGAGCGAGGAGGGCATCGGAATACCATACTATTTACATTGTTTCGTGCCCCTCCCGCCCCTCCAGGGAGGCCCCGCCTGAGCGAGGAAGGTATCGGAATACCATACTATTTACATGGTTTCGTGCCCCTCCCACCCCTCCAGGGAGGCCCCGCCTGAGCGAGGAGGGTATCCGAAAACCATACTATTTACATGGTTTCGTGCCCCTCCCACCCCTGCAGGGAGGCCCCGCCTGAGCGAGGAGGGTATCCGAAAACCATACTATTTACCTGGTTTCGTGCCCCTCCCACCTCTCCAGGGAGGCCCCGCCTGAGCGAGGAGGGTATCAAGAAAATGGGTCCCACGAAACCGTTCATTTCTTTATGTGGGGAACTCCGTTAGCATAATTGTTTTCCCCCCTTTGGGAATGCCGTTTTAGCAGCCACGGATTTGCCAGCCCTCGCCCAGCTTCCACATGGGGCCCCTGGCCCCTCACGCCTCGAGGGCATTCTCTGCAGCGTCCAGCGCAGAAGAGCCCGAAGGGAGCGGAGGACACCCCGCGCAGCGCCCGCGGCACGGGGGCGGAGACACCACTCTTGGCCGCGCCATCAGATGTGTCGGTAGGTAGGCCGGGCGAGTCCTCTCGCCCGAGGTTTCTTCGGAGGCGACGACAGGGGCGAGTAGCCCAGGGGGGAGCAATACATGTATCCAGGGGTGCCGATGATCTATGTCTTCGACAAGGCTCCCGGGCGAATACGTGTAATGCCCGCCCCTGGGCTATTCGCCCCTATCGTCGCCGACGATTTCCTCGCCGCTTGTGATTTTGAAGCGCGGGCGTTCAAGCAGTTGCAGTCGGACCGAGGCATGAGCTCGAGGTCGGTTCGGGGAGGGGGCCTTACTGTTCTTCGCGCATTGTTGGATGTTCTTGTGCATCCTGGTGAGGGTGCCCTTGGATGTTCTGTTTGCTATGGCCGACAGAGGGGAGGAGGGGGAGGAGGAGGAGGAGGAGGATTGAGAGGGAGGAGAGAGATGAGAGAGGAGGAGGAGGAAGGAGGAGGAGGAGGATGATGAGGAGGAGGAGGCCCTTGATGTTCTGTTTTCTAATGGCGACAGAGGGGAGGATGGGGAGGAGGAGGAGGATGAGGAGGAGGAGGAGGAGGAGGAGGAATGAGGAGGGATGAGGAGAGGGAGGAGGCAGAGGATGAGGAGGAGGGCGGCGGAGGAGAGGAGGATGAGGAGGAGAGTATGAAGGAGGGAGAGGAAGGGGAGGGGAGGAGGAAGAGATGGAGGAGGAGAGGAGAGGGAGGAGGAGGAGGAGGAGGAGGAGGAGGAGTGATGAGGAGGGAGGAGGAGGAGGAGGATGAGGAGGATGAGGCGGAAGGGGAAGGAGAGGAGGAGTCAGGAGAGTCAGGGGGGAGGGAAGGAGGAGAGGAGAGGAGGATGAGGAGAGGAGGAGGAGGAGGAGGAGGAGGAGGAGAGGAGGAGAGGAGGAGAGGAGGAGGCAGCACGAGGATTGGGAGCAGCGCACAGCTATGCTGGATCATCGGCGGCTCGGTAGCGAGGGCCCCCAAGCGACCCGTTGTACCGCGGCGAAGGTACGTGGTGCTCAACGACGGCACGGAGAAGAAGTCTGCGACCTACCCCGCGAGCTTGGACTGGAGGCTGGCGGCGCGCAGCTTGGATAGACACATGCGTAGAGGAGGAGGAGGAGGAGGAGGAGGCGGTAGGAGGAGAGGGGGAGGAGGAGAGGAGGATGAGGGCTGAGGGAGGAGGTAGGAGGAAGGAGGATGAGGGGAGAGAAGGAGGAAGGCGAGGCGGGAGGAGGCGGATACTGAGGAGGATGAGGAGGAGGAGAGTAGGAGGACTGAGCGTAGGAGGATGGATAAGATGAGGAGGAGAGGAGGCGGAGTTGAGGAGGAGGAGGGAGGAAAGGAGAATGAAGGAAGGATTACGTAGGAAGGAGAGGCGGAGGAGGAGGAGAGGAGGAGGAGAGAAGAGGAGAGAGAAGGATGAATGAGGAAGGATGACGGCGAAGGAGGAAGGAGGGAGAAAAGGAGTAAGAGCAGGCAGGAGGAAGGAAGGAGGGAGGAGGAGGGAAAGGAGGGAAGATGGATGAGGGAAATGGCAAGAGCGGGAGGACGCCGAAAGAGGCAGGAGGAGGAAGGAGTAAGATGGAAGGGGAGAGGAAGGAGGAAGAGGAGACGAGCAGGAGAGGAGAGCAGGAGGAAGGAGGAGGAGCATGAGGAGGAGGAGGAGGAGCAGTAGGAGGAGGAAAGAGAGGAGAGCCGAGAAGGAGCAGAGAGGAGAGGAGGAGAGGGGAGGAGGGGAGGAGGAGGAGGAGGAGGAGGAGGAGGTACATCAGCAGGTTGTCGTCCAGACTGCCGTCTATACGTCTCTCTTAGCGCTGGGAGCTCGCTCGCTGCGGGCCCTCTGCTGAGTGGATGTCGAGCACATGCGCGCGGCGCGGAGGGCTTGCGGAGGCCAGGTTAGCAGAGGGCGGGACCGATGAGCGGGACGCAAGCGCTTATCATCTGTCGTAGGCTGGCGGGGAACCTTTGCGCCAGCGGTGCCAAAGGGGAGTAGGAGGAGGGGAATTATCCTCCCTCTCCTCGTCGTCCTCCTCGTCCACCTCGCGCTGCACGGGCGGCAAGGCGGCCCCGCTACAGTCACGCTTGCCAGCCGCTTTCCGCCCAGGCCGTGACGCGGCCGTCGAGACCCAGTAGGGCCTGCGGGCCAGGCTGGGCAACCAGCTGGCGGAATTCGTGGCCCAGGGGACGCTACAGAGGAGGGGGCCAACGAGACCGAGCTAGAGTCTCGTGGCTATCAACCCACAGGTCTGAGTTTGCGCGCCGGAGAAGCTCCGCTACAATGGTGCCACAGCAGCCCAGCACGCCAGCGTAAGACGATTCTAGCTTCAGGCGACCTGTATTTGGTGAACGCCAATTCTTGGGGGTCGGGGTGGTTCTTCCTCCCTTGGGTCTGGCCACGTTTTGCTCGCTTCGGCGGCAGCTCCTTGCACAGCCTGGCCAGCTCACCGTTGTCGCTCGCCGTGTCATGGCCGCGGCAGAATGCAGCGTGCAGCCACATGCGCGCCCACCCATCTTTGGTGAATGCCCCGACTGCTGCGCATGTCATGCACAGAAGGAGACGATGCATGGAAACCACCCTGTGATACCGGTGCGGCCTCCAGCTGGCCACCACCAGTCCTTGTAGTGGGCGCCGCCCCAGCTGTCGGGCGCGGCCTTGCAGGGCTTGAGGGCCAAATGACGGACATTTGCAGGTGGTGCTTCTTAGCCAGTCCACCAGCGAGTACTTGTCAGGGTCCTGCCATTGAAGCAAAACCATAGCGTACCCTTCCGCGGGACCGATATCGTGCCCCGAGCCATGGGCGCTTACTGCACGGTCCTGCGCTGTCTGGTCCCTTCTGTGTGCGCTTGCTGTGAGGATTCATCTGCAGGGGTGCTTCTATTATGAGAGCGGTTCGTGTGCCCTTTACAGACGGCACCAGGCCGCCAGCAGCAGGGCGCCTGAGGCAATGCTCCCAGACATCCGACGTCTCGATTTCTTCGAGAGACGGGCCCCGACCTCCCGACCTCTTCCCCAGGACCGCTTTTTCATCCCGAGTCGTTTCTGGATGGCCCCGAGGCCCAGCGAGGGCCCCTGGAGGCTGACAACGACGAAAACCCTCCGTCCCGATTTTTTCGAGACGCCCGATGTCTGGGATTCGTGGGCGGCGCCGGCGGGGCGGGTCTTTCCCGCCGCCGAGGGGTGCAGGCGGTCGCAGCGCCAGGGCCAAGGAGTAGTCGCCGCGCCAGCAGGCCCCGCGCAGGGCGAGCGCAGGAGGGCCTCCCGTCCACCGCAGGTGGGCTGAGGTGGCAGCAGGGGGCAGCGTCCGAGGCAGCGTCCTGCTGCGGTGTTTCCCGAGAAGGCAGGCCTCACGAGGCTTGGTCGGAGGGGTTGGCCCTGGGGTGGCCAGGAAGGGTTGGGCGGGGTAGTTGTTCGAGAGCAGGGCCCGAGCTCAACCATGTTTTGGCGATGTCGTTGGCCGTGTTCGTTTTGATTCCGCTTCGCAGCAATGGCGGCACGAAGACAGAACGAAGGAGCACAAGCACAGCACGAAAACGAAACACATGGCTTAGCTCGAGCCTGGTTCGATAGTTCTTTCCATCACATCCATATACACATACATATACACATACATATACACATACATATACATATACATATACATATACATGTACATGTACATGTACAGGTACACGCACATAAACATACACCATATACATGTACATACACACATGCATACACACATATGTACATATGCATATGCATATACACATACACATACACATACATATACACAGACATATGCATGCACACATACACTTACATATACGTATACATCTACATATACATATACACATACACATACATCTACATCTACATCTACATCTACATCTACATCTACATCTACATCTACATCTACATATACATATACATATACATATACATACACACATACATATACATAGACATACACATATACATTTACATTTACATATGCAAATGCATACGTATACACATACACACACCTATACACATACATATACATATGCACACACATCTACATCTACATCTACATCTACATCTACATCTACATCTACATCTACATCTACATCTACATCTACATCTACATCTACATCTACATCTACATCTACATCTACATCTACATCTACATCCTCATCTACATCTACATCTACATCTACATCTACATCTACATCTACATCTACATCTACATCTACATCTACATCTACATCTACATCTACATCTACATCTACATCTACATCTACATCTACATCCTCATCTACATCTACATCTACATCTACATCTACATCTACATCTACATCTACATCCTCATCTACATCTACATCTACATCTACATCTACATCTACATCTACTTCCAAATCTACATCTACATCTACATCTACATCTACAGCTACAGCTACAGCTACAGCTACAGCTACAGCTAGAGCTAGAGCTAGAGCTACATCTACACCTACACCTACATCCACATCCACATCCACATCCACATCCACATCCACACCTACATCTACATCTACATCTACATCTACATCTACATCTACATCTACATCTACATCTACATCTACATCTACATCTACATCTACATCTACATCTACATCTACATCTACATCTACATCTACATCTACATCTACATCTACATCTACATCTACAGCTACAGCTACAGCTACATCTACATCTACATCTACATCTACATCTACATCTACATCTACATCTACATCTACATCTACATCTACATCTACATCTACATCTACATCTACATCTACATCTACATCTACATCTACATCTACATCTACATCTTCATCTACATCTACATCTTCATCTACATCTACATCTACATCTACATCTACATCTACATCTACATCTACATCTACATCTACATCTACATCTACATCTACATCTACATCTACATCTACATCTACATCTACATCGACATCTACATCTACATCTACATCTACATCTACATCTACATCTACATCTACATCTACATCTACATCTACATCTACATCTACATCTACATCTACATCTACCTCTACATCTACATCTACATCTACATCTACATCTACATCTACATCTACATCTACATCTACATCTACATCTACATCTACATCTACATCTACATCTACATATGCATATACACATACATATACAAACACATATATCTGTGTATATATATGTATATATACATACATATATATATGATGTTACGTCTTATGGGAAGACTTGGCGGCCAGGATTGGCCGGGAAGGCGGCCGTGGTCGTCAGGGGTTATTCAGAGGGTTGCTCGGGGTTTGTCCAGGGTTGGCCAGGGGTTGGCCGGAAGGGCTGGTTGGAGTATTTCTTCGACCCACGATTCGTTTCATAAAATGCAGTGCTCCTCCATGTTTGTTAGATGCTCGTTTTGGGGACTTTCCTGGGGCCCACCTAACGGATCTGTTCGACTCTAGTTCGACTTCAGTTCGACTCAGGTTCGACTCCGACTCAAGTTGGACTCAGGTTCGACTCAGATTCGACTCAAGTTCGACTCCGGTCGACGGACGCTCGACGCAGCTTCGACGCACGAGCGGAGCGAGTGGCTCCAGGAAGGTCCCCAGAATGAGCATCAGATGCTCACTTTCTCCCATCGTATCACCCAGGACGAGAAGGGCGTGGCAGGTGCCCAGTATGCGCCGCGTTCTCCTCACCCTGCCCGCGCGCCCGCGCAGATCTTGACCTGTGACAGTGAAGCGACCGCGGGTGGAACGTCGGTGCTTCGGTTGCTGGTCTCCCGGATGGTCACAGCTGCTGCGACAGCGATACTTCTCGGTCGTTGAAAGTATGTATTTCTGGATTCCCAGATCCCAATCTACATCAGGCGCCGTCCTATTTCAATCCTCGAGTTTTTTTTGTTCCTCCTCCTTCCGCCTCAAGCGGGCGGCCGAATGCCCAATCTGCTTCCCGGCGCCTTCCGACCGATGGGTCATGGTTATTCTCCCCTCCCATTCCCCAGGAGGGAGGGCCGCTCGAGACCGGCGGCGCTCCTGCCCGGCCGTCGCATCCGCCCACGGCAGGATGATGATGATGATGATGATGATGATGATGATGATGATGATGATGATGATGATGATGATGATGATGATGATGATGATGATGATGATGATGATGATGATGATGATGATGATGATGATGATGATGATGATGATGATGATATGATGATGATGACGATGATGATTAATTGGATGATGATGATGATGTGCTGGTGATGATGATGATAGATTGATGATATGATGATTGATTGTAAATGATGATGATGATGCTGATGATGATGTGATGCTGATATGATGATGAGGAATGATGATGATCGATGATAGGATGATGCTGATGATGATGATTGATGATGATGATGATGATTATGATGATGATGATGATGATGATGATGAATGAGGAGGAGGAGTGAGGAGTAAGGATGGAGGATGGAGGAGGACGAGAAGGGGGGAGGGGAGGGGAGGAGAAGGAGGAGAGGGAGGAGGAGGAAGGAGAGAGGAGCAGGAGGCGAGGAGGATGAGGATCGAGAGGAGGCGGGGATGAGAGGGAGGAGGAGGAGAGGAGAGGAGGAGGAGGAGGACGAGTGATAGATGGAGAGGAGGAGGATGAGAGGAGTAAGAGGGAGGAGGAGGAGGAGGAGGGGAGGAGAGAGGAGGAGGAGGAGATGAAGGAGAGGAGGAAGGGAGGAGGAGGAGGAGGAGGAGGAGAGGAGGAGGAGGATGGGAGGAGGGAGAGGAGAGGAGGAGGAGATGAGGAGGGGAGGAGGAGAGGAGGAGGCGGAGGAGCAGGAGGCGGAGCAGGGGCGGAGGAGGGAGGAGAGCAGGAGGAGGAGGGAGGAGGAGGAGGGAGGAGGAGGAGGAGGAGGAGGAGGAGGAGGATGAGGGAGGAGGGGGAGCGGGGAGGGTCGGGGGAAGGGGGAGTGGGAGTAGTTGGAGGAGGAGTAGAGTAAAGAGGGGTAGGACAGTAGGAGGAGAGGGGGAGAGGAGGAGGAGATGAGGATTAATGATGAGGAGGGGGAGGGGGTGGAGGAGGAGAAGGAGGAGCCCTCGGGCCTGGACCCCCCTTCGGGTTCTGCTCCGACGCGATGCCTTCGAGGCGGAAGCGCCGCCGAGCCGCGGCGAGAGGCCCCTCCAAGAGAAGCCCCGCATTGCCAGAGAACGTTAGGGGGAGGCCGCCGTTGTCTCGAATGGCCCTCCTCCGATTCCGCGCTTGGACCTGCCCCTCCTCCTCCTCCTCCACCTCCTCCTCCTTCTCCTCCTTTTCCTCCTCCTCCTCCCTCCTCCTCTTCCTCCTTCCTCCTCCTCCTCCTCTCTCCTCCTCCGCCTGCTGCCCTCCTCCTCCTCCTCCTCCTCCTCTCCTCCTCCTCCTCCTCCTCCTCCTCCCTCCTCCTCCTCCTCCTCCTCCTCCTCCTCTTCCTCCTCTCTCCTCGCTCTCCTCCTCTCGCTCCTCCTCTCCTTCTCCTCTTCCTCCTCCTCCTCCTCCTCCTAAACCACGTGTGTGGTTAGCGACATGCTCCCGCATGCTCCTCCTCCTCCGCCGTCTCTGCTCCTCTACTTCTTCTCTGCTGCTCCTCCTCCGCCTCCTCTTCATCCTCCTCCTCCCACAATGTCGTCGTCGTCGTCGTCCTCCTCCTCCTCCGCCTCCTCCTCCTCTTCCCCAGCCTCAGATGTCGCCCCCCAAGTCCCAGGGCTCTCAAGCCGGCGTGCCTGGATTATGTCCACCACCAGGAGGACCGCGGCGCCAGCTGCTTCCTCCCTGCTCCCTCCGCCCTTTCCTCTACCTTCCTCCTCGTCCTCATTCATCCTCTCTCCGTCTTTCCCTCCTCCTCCTCGTCCTCCCCCTCCTCCCTCTTCCCTGTATGGCTCCTTCCTCCCTCCTGAGCCTGCGCCTACGCCTCCGCCTCCGCCTCTGCCTCCGCCTTCGCCTCCTCCTCCTCCTCCTCCTCCTATTCCTCCTCCTCCTCCTCCTCCTCTCCACCCCTGCGCGGGAAAGGAGATGAGGAGTGCCGAATGGGGAGAGGTGAAGCAAGCCCGCGGACGAGAGCGACGAGGCGGGGGGGAGCAAGAGCAGTTTCTCCTCCTCCTCCTCCTCCTCCGCCTGGTCCTCCTCCCGCTCCCCCTCCTCTCACCGTGGCGTGTGCGCCGTTCTGTTGCCGAGGGAGTTCCTTTCGCTCGCTGGTTACGCTCGTCGTTCGGCCCCTCGCCGGGCCGTGCCCGGCCTCGGCCCGTCGTCTCTGCGCCTTGGGGCCCCCTCGTCGCCTCGGGGCCGCGCCGTTCGAGCCGTCCCGTGCGGGACGGTAGAATCGCGCTGGCCGCATCGGCCGCGAGGTCTCACGCGAGGAGGGCACACGCTCGCGAGCGTCCTGGACGTGGAGGCAGACGCGCTGGCCCGTGCACAGCTCGAGGACGGCCACTCCGCGAGGATCCTCGAGTTTGCTTCCGCCTTCCCCTCCCTACCAAACACTCAAGCAGTGGCGAAGCGTCCTGGCGGAGTCTGTCCTGTTTTAGCACATCGGGTTTATGTTCTAAGAACACTGTTTTTGTTCTAGAACATTTTTGGGTTCTAAGAACACTTCGTGGTGGGACTATAGGAATGCCCGGACGGTCGGTCCCTGCTCAAAACACACACGAAAACACACGCTGACCTCCCATCTCTTCCCCCCCGTACCGGTGCCATGTGAGCGTGAGGTGGCCTCCCGGCCTCAGCGATCGAGAGAGCCACGGAGCACCCGAGCAGCAGTCCTGCTGGCCGCGGCAGGTTTGCAAAGTCTCCTGATGGGCCCTCAGGGCGCAGAGGGGCTTAATCTGACAGTGATGCACTGGCAGAGTGCCAGGTGATGCCCAGGCGGCTCACGGTGAGTCCAGTGCCCCCCGGAGATTGAGTAGAGGATCGACTACACAGTTGATTCACCAGAGCAATGAATTTTCCCATCGAATCTACGACGAAAGAGTATCATCTTCGTGAAGCTACTGAGACTTCTGAGCCTTTTTTTGGGTAGGTTCGACGAGACATTTAGTTTCGGGGTGAATCACTTCTGTGGTTGATCCCCTACTCGAAGAGCTCGATGCGATTCGATTCCCCCCATCCACTCCTGCTGTGGCCGCTGGCCGAGCGAGGACTGTGGCGCCTGCTACATGTTCGCGGGGCTGGACTCGGCGTCGGACAGGCGGCGCACCGCCTCCCTCTTCCCGTGGGTGGTTGCCAGGATGATGATGATGATGATGATGATGATGATGATGATGATGGTGGTGGTGGTGGTGGTGATGATGATGATGATTAAGATGATGGTGATGATGCTGATGATGATGCTGATGATGATGACGATGATGATGCTGCTGTTGATGATGATGACGATGATGATGCTGATGATGATGATGCTGATGCTGATGATGATGATGATGCTGATGCTGATGCTGATGCTGATGCTGATGATGATGACGACGACGACGATGATGATGATGATGATGATGATGATGATGATGATGATGATGATGATCATGATGAGGATGAGGATGAGGATGAGGATGAGGATGATGATGATGATGATGATGATGATGATGATGATGATGATGATGATGATGATGATGATGATGATGATGATGATGATGATGATGATGATGATGATGATGATGATGAGGATGAGGATGAGGATGAGGATGAGGATGAGGAGGATGAGGATGAGGATGAGGATGGGAATGAAGGATTATGATGAGGATGGATGATTATGATGATGATGATGAATGATGATGATGATAATGATTGAGAATGATGATTATGATATGATGATTATGAGATGATGATGATGATGATGATGATGATGATGGAAGAGCGTGTTCTACCGCTAATGGCGGAGAAAACCCGGGTGGGGGGTCACCTACCGGTTCGAAACCCCTCCCCCCCCCCCACCTCCGGAATACTGGGGGGGGGTCACTACCGGTTCGAAACCCCTCCCCCCCCCGCCCCCCAGTTCATCATGAAAAGGGGGGGGGGTCACTACCGGTTCGAACCCCCCCCCCCCTCGAAAACCGAGTGGGGGTTGCGGACAGTGGTGGGGGCGGCGTTGGTGGGGACAGTGGCGAGGGGACAGCGGGACAGTGGTGGGGGCAGTGGGGGGACAGTGGGACAGCGGTGGGGAGGGTAGTGGTGGGGACAGTGGTGGGGACAATGGTGGGAACAGGGGGGACAGTGGACAGTGGTGGGAACGGTGGTGGTGGGGACAGTGGTGTGGGGACAGTGGGAATGAGGTGGAAACACTGGGACAGTGGAGGGTACCATGGTGGTGGGGACACTGGTAAAGGCGGTGGCGAGGACGGCGGTGGGACAATGGGACAGAGGTACAGTGGGGACAGTGGTGGGGACAGTGGGGACAGTGGTGGAAACAGTGGGACAGCTCTGTGGGACAGCGGAGGAGTCAGTGGGACAGTGGGGACAATGGGGATAGGCAGTGGTTGGGTCCGTGGAGACAGTGGGGAGAATGGAACCGTGGTGGGAACAGTTGTGGGAACAGTGGGGACAGTGCGACAGTGGTGGGGGCACTGGTGGGGACAATAGGGACGGTGGTGGAACCAGCGGGGGCAGTGGTGGTGAGGACAGTGGCGCTGGGAACAACAGTGGGGGATGTCATGCGAGCGGTGGTAGGGACCGGGAGTCGTTTGCTGGCGGTGCGTGGGGGGGGGGTCGACCGGTAGCGACCCCCTCCCGGTTTTCGAGGGGGGCGGGGGGGGTGCCAGCCGGTGTGACCCCCCCCGGTTTTTCTGGGATCCGAAGGGGGGGGGGGGGGGAGGGTTTCGAACCGTAGTGACCCCCCCCGCGATTCCGGGGGGATGGTGGGGGGGGTGGGGGGGGGGGGGGGAGGGGGGGGGGGGTGGGGGGGGTGGGGGGAGGGGTTAGGGGAGCCTCCTTGTTTTGCGGGTAGGGGGAGGGGGGGGGGGAGGGGGGGGAGGGGTTCCGTCAGGGGGGTGGGGGGAAAATTTTTTCGGGAGGGGGGGGGGACCCCCGGGTTCCGGAGGAAAAGGGCGGCAATTTTCCACAGTCAAGCGGCGGTGGATCACGCTCTCTCTGATGATGATGATGATGATGATGATGATGATGATGATGATGATGATGATGATGATGATGATGATGATGATGATGATGATGATGATGATGATGATGATGGTGATGGGGATTTTGATGATGACATGACGATGCTGCTGCTGATGCTGATGATGCTGATGATGCTGCTGATGCTGCTGATGATGATGCTGATGCAGATGATGCTGTTGATACTCATGATGATGTTGATGATGATGCTGATGTGGTGATGGTGACGGTGATGGTAATGGTGATGATGGTGATGATGATCCTGATGGTGACGGTGATGATGGTGATGGCGATGATGATGCTGATGATGATTTCGACCATTATGCTGATGATGTTTCTGATGATGATGAGGGCGATGATGATGATGACGATTCTGATGATGCTGATGATGCTGGTTGTGGTGATTATGATGATGCTGCTGATGATGATGCTGCTGCTGATGATGCTGCTGGTCATGATGATGATTATGCTCATGCTGATGCTGATGATGAAGATGCTGCTGATGATGATGATGCTGAGCATGACGATGATGTCGATGATGTTGATGATGACGATGCTGAGTCTGATGATGCTGATGATCATCATGATACTGATGCCGATGATGATGGTGAACATGATGATGATGATGATGATGATGATGATGACGATGAAGATGAAGATGATGATGATGCTGATGATGATGATGATGATGATGATGATGATGGTGATGGGGAATTTGATGATGACACGCTGATGCTGCTGATGATAATTATGCTGATGATGATGGTGACGATGATGAGCATGACGATGATGTCGATGATTTTGATGTTGCTGATGCTGATGGTGGTGATGCTGCTGCTGATGATGATTGCGATGATGATGATGATGATGATGCTGATGATGATGATGATGTTGATGATGTTGATGATGATGCTGATGATGATGATGATGATGATGATGATAAGGATGTTTATGATGATGATAATGATGATGATGATGATGGTGGTGGTGGTGATGATGATGATAATGATGTTGATGATGATGATGATACTGATGATGATGATGATGATGATGATGATGATGATGATGATGATGATGATGATGATGATGATGATGATGATGATGATGATGATGATGATATTGATGGTGGTGGTGAGGATGACGATGCTGATGCTGACGATGACGATGATGTTGATGCTGATGATGATGATGATGATGATGATGATGATGATGATGATGATGATGATGATGATAATGATGATGATGATGATGATGATGATGATGATGATGATTATGATGATGTGATGATGATGCTGAATGATGAACTGATTGATGATGATGATGATGATGATGATGCATGATGATGATTGGATGATGATGATGATGAATGCTGATGAGGGCAGGGAGGAGCAAGGGGAGGAGGAGGAGGAGGAGGAGGAGGGAAGGGTGAAGGAAGGGATGAGGAGGAGGAGGGAGGAGGAAGGAAGGAGGAAGAGGAGGGAGTAGGAGGAGGAAGGAGGAGGATTAGGAGGAGGAGGGAGGAGGACAGGAGGAGGAGGGAGGAGGATGAGTAAGTAGGAGAGGAGGAGGATGTGGAGGAGGATGAGGAGGAGGAGGGCGGAGAGGAGGAGGAGGCGGAGGAGGGAGGTAGGAGGAAGGGGGAGGAAGGAGGAGGAGGAGGAGGAGGAGGGAGGAGGAGGAGGGATGAGGAGGAGAGGAGGAGGAGGAGGAGAGGAGGAGGAGGAGGAAGGAGGATTAGGAGGGAGGAGGAGGAGGAGGAGGAGTAAGGAGGAGGAGGAGGCAGGAGTAAAGGAGGAGGAGGTAGAGGAGGAGGAAGGAGAGGGGAGGAGGGAGTAGGATAGGAGGAGAGGAGGAAGATGAGGAGGAGGAGGAGGAGGAGTGAGGAGGAGGAGGAGGAGAGGAGGAGGAGGAGGAGGAGGAGGAGGAGTGAGGTAGGAGTAAGGAGGAGGAGGAGGTAGGAAGGAGGCGGAATGAGGGAGGAGGAGGAGGGAGGGAGGAGAGGAGAAGGAGGAGGAGAGGAGGAGGAGGAGGGTTGAGGAGGAGGAGGATGAGGAGGTAGGAGGATGAGGGAGGAGGAGGGGAGGAGGAGGGAGGATGAGGAGGAGGAGTGTGAGGAGGAGGAGGGAGGAAAGGAGAGGAGGAGGAGGAGGATGAGTGAGAGGAGGAGGAGGAGGAGGAGGAGAGGAGGAGGAGTAGGAGGAGGAGGAGGATTAGGGAGGAGGAGGCGGGAGGAGGAGGAGGAGGAGGATATGGATCGGAGGAGGAACATGTACCCATGCAGCTACCCTTCGCCCGTTTCCCCCTTTTTCGCACTCCTGGGAGGCCCTCGTCGCCACTGCTGGAGTGGCCTTGAAATTCTGGTCAGAACGCATCCCGGGAGAGGTCCGGGGAGTAGCGGTATCGGTACCTTCTGCTTTCCCGCATGGAAAAGGATGAGGAGGATCGAGAAGGTGAAGGAGGAGGAGGAGGAGGAGGAGGAGGAGGAGGACCAGTGTAAACCCAAGAGTCATCAACGATGTTGGAATTAACCCTCCCTCCAAGCTCCCTCTTCACAGGCCCCTACAACAGTTCATTTCCATTGAGGGAACTGCCTCGTTGCCGTTTGAAGTCCTGAATCCTGCCAGAACATTGTTTTCTGGATTTCAACGCCACGGACCAAGCTGACTGCTGCGTCTCCGGAATCGTGCCATGACGCCATTTTTGGGACTTCAACACCGCGAACCAACATAATTGTTGCACCCGCATAATCTTGAATTTTTCCAAACACCATTTCTGGTACGTTGATCAGGGAAACCAGTGTTACTCATGCAGTTTTTTAGGACGAATGCGCGCGGCGCTAAGGCGAGAACCACATATTGAAAAGGAGCCGCCCTCAATCCGTGAAACTCTTGCAAGTGTTTAAACTAACCGCCCTCAATCCGTGAAACTCTTTGCAATTTTCAAAACGAATGTGTGCGCGGCGCTAAGGCGAGAGCCACATTTTGAAAACCACCCGCCCTCAATCCGTGAAACTCTTTGCAATTTTCAAAACGAATGTGCGCGGCGCTAAGGCGAGAGTCACAGTCTGAAAACCACCTGCCCTCCATCTGTGAAGCTGTTGTCACTTTTTCAGCTTCAGGGTCACAACTATTGAGGAAGTCTCAGGCGAAACGGCCGGCCCGCCCTTAACTGGCCTCGGGGTGCGACAGGGAGAAGTTGTTTTTTTATGGAAAAGGAATGGATGAGGATGAGGATGAGGATGAGGATGAGGATGAGGAGGAGAAGGAGGAGGAGGAGGAGGAGGAGGAGGGAGGAGGAGAGGAGGAGGAGGAGGATGAGGAGGGAGGAGGAGGGAGGAGGAGGAGGAGGAGGCGGATCGAGGAGGATCGAGGAGGAGGATCAGGATCGAAGAGGAGGAGGAGGAGGTGGAGGAGGAGGAGGAGGAGGATTTAAACTTCCTCTCTTGGGCCCCCCGGGGGGGTGCATGCACTGCTTCGGTCCTCACCTGCTGCCGACGGCCCCGCCCACTCGCACGGGAGCTTGCGAGTGTGGAGCGGTTGATGTGGTTTGGTGCGCGTCTGGTTGGTTCCGATCTCGCTCGATACCTGGCCTGGTGAGCTGAAGTGGACGATTTCGGTGGCCCATGTCTGGGCCTGTCCCTCTACAGGGGAAATATTTCAAAATAGTAAACAAATAGTCTGGGGACTATTTTTGGGGTATTTTTGTCAATTTTGGAGTAATTTCTGAGTATTTTTCATTTTTCGTCGAAATCCCCCTGTAGGGGGACACGCCCGACTTAATCCTAGATGGGGTCGGAGTAGATGCGGTCGGAGGATCGCGCCGCATCGCCGATGCGGCTCGATGCGGAGCCCGCTTTTCTCCACGCCGACGTCGCCGATGCATTGCCCACATCGCCGATGCATCGCCGGTGCATCGCCGATGCATCGCCGAGACATCGCCGATGCATCGCCGATGGATCGGCGATGCGGCGCGATCCTCCAACCCCATCTACTCTGACCCCATGTAGGAGGCCTCTACCATGTGAGTGGGGACAACTGCGTCATATTGGACATGCGCACAATCTTTGACAGAGCGCCTGCTGGAAAGCCAGCGCCGCGGTTATTTTCATGTGCTGCGGTAGCGGTGGACAGCAGCACGAGTTTTGGTGGATGGGCCCTTTCTCCCGCCGCGCCAGCGTCTTCGTTTCAATTGGGAGGAGTCGGTCCCGCGGAAGGATGGCGTAGCGACTCATCAGGTTCGGTCTTGCCAGCGGTATTGTCCTTCACTCATTCTCGTGGTTGTGGTCGTGGATGAGATGCGATTCTGGGGGGAGGGGAAGATACATTGGGTGCGCGCATCAAGAAACCATGTGCTTCTGCTTCTGGTTTCCTGGTTTTCTTCGCTCCGCGAGCTGCGCGGCGACTTCCCGCAGCCGAGGAAGAAACTGCTGCGTTCAGGGTGCCCTTCAGTGCGCCTCGCGCGCGCGGGTTTTCAGGGTTTGGTTTCTCGCGAGGGTTTCTTGCGGCCGCGACCGCACTGATTGTTGTCGTGGAACACATGCGATTCTGGGGGGAGGGGAAGATATTCTAGCCGCAGGCACTGCATCAACATGGACTCGAATTCCCAGCTCGGCGTCATGCACCACCTGTCCGTGCAGCAGGCTCGCTGGGCCGCGGCCTCAGCTTAAGTCGGGCCTGTCCCTCTACAGGGGGAAGATTCCAAAATAGTCTGAAAATAGTCTGGGGACGATGTCTTGAGTAGTTTGGGGCATTTTTGAGCATTTCTGGGGCATTTTTTAGATTTCTCGTCCAAGAGCCGCCTGTAAGGGGACATGTCCGACCTGAGCCTAAGCTGTTGACGCTTCGCGGTGCCACCCTTTCGAGCTCGGTCGTCGCCCTTCCGCAACGGTAGCCGCAAGCTCGCGGTCCGCTGTCATCTCACAGCACTGTGTGCGATGTCGCCCAGCAGTCGTCGCAGCTGTCGAGGCCAACCATCTTTATCCAACCGTGGCTACCTGCAGCCATGTAGAAGCCAGATGCTTGAACGTGCTTTGCCAGGTGCCGGCAAGCTTGGACGCGTGCGCTTATCACATGAAGGAGGCAGGGAGTCAGGGGAACCTGCTCCTGACCCCCACCGCCCCTCTCTTAGGTGCACTCACGTGCGCGCGCGGACGCGTATGTGCGGGTGGATGGGGAAGAGGAGGAGTAGGAGGGAGGGAGGGAGGGAGAGAGGAAGGGAGGGAGGGATGGAGGGAGGAGGAGGAGGACACTCGAGCGATATGATGACGATGATGATGATGATGATGATGATGGTGATGATGATGATGATGATGATGATGATGATGATGATGATGGGGGTGGTGACGTTGGTGGTGGTGGGGTGATGCTGATGTTGATGATGATGTCGATGATTAAGCTGATGATGATAATGATGCTGATTACGATGATGACAAGGATGATGAGGGCGGCGGTGATGATGATGATGATGGTGGTGGTGATGATGATGGTGATGTCGACGATGACGATGGTTATGATTCTGTTATTGCCGACGATCACGATGAGGATGCTGCTGCTGATGATGGTGGTGATGATGATGCTTATGATGCAGCTGCTGATGATCATACTGATACGGATAATACTGATGATGCTGATGATGATGGCGATGACGACGATGACGATAATATTGTTGATTATGTTGTTGATGCTGATGCGGCTTATAATGGTTGTTAATGCGGAAGTTGCTACTGCTGATCATTACTATTATGATCATTCCTGTTACTATTAGTTTCATTGTAGTTGTTGCTTTTATTGCGATGCTTCTTAGGATTGCTACGATGATGATGGTGATGCAGACGATGACGACGATGATGATGATGCTGCTGCTGCTGATGATGACGCTGATACTGATGATGACGATGAGGATGAAAAGGATGATGAGGAGGAGGAGGAACAGGAGCAGGTGCAGTGTAAGCCCAGTGCGCATCAACGAAAGCAGGAAGGGATGGAGGAAGAGCCGCGGCACCCTGTGCGGAATGCGCCCCCGTCTTCCGTGTGCCTGGGTCTGCCAGTAGTGCTGGGGGCCCAGTACATACCTCTCGCGTGTTCGTTTGTCAGCGTTTTTGTTTAAAATATGTATGCATGCCAATAGAATTAACACATGCATTTGTGGTAGTTTTTTTTTTTTGTTTTTTTTTTTTTTTTGTGTTTTGTGTAGTTGTAGTTGTAGTTGTAGTTGTAGTTACTGTTGTGGTTGTTGTGGCTGTTGTTGTTGGTGTTGTTGTTGCTGTTTTTGTCGTCGTTTCCTTTGTTGTTTATGTATGTCTTTTTGTTGGTGATGATATTTTGTTTTTGTTTAGTTGTTGGTTGTTTGTTGTTGTTGCCTGCTTGCTTGCTGTTTTTGTTTGATGTGTGTGTGTGTGGCGTTGTGGCTTCTTCTTGTCGTTGATTTTGCGACATGCCGCCGCCCCCCTTTCTCTAGTGACTGTGGTGGCATTGTATTTTTTCGTTTTCTTCTGTGTTTTTTGTTTTTTGTCTTTAGGCGTCGCCGCTGTCGCCTGCCGCCTGCATGGGGCCCGATGCTGGCGGTTGAGCACCCGTGCCCACCAGCATCGCCAGGTGGCCGCTAATGCGGATAGCCAAACCTCTCTCGACCCCTTTTCTGTGCCCAGTTATTTCTCCCGAGCCGTTCTTGGATGGTCCTGGGGCCCGGAGCTCGGGACGATCGAGATGAGTACGTAAAAAAGGAATGCAAAGACTGGCAGCATGTCTTCTTCAGTCTGAACCGGGCCCGCTGTTGGTGTCGCCGCGGACGCTGTTCACTCGAGACAGAAGGCCGCCTGCCCAACAGCGGCCGCTGTCGGTTTTGGACAACGTTTGCTGTTGAGCACCGTACCCGTTTTTTCCGTACCCACTTCGGGCGTTCAAAATCAGGGACAACGAGAGGGGGGGATAGGCATAGGGGGGGGGATGCATCGACCCCCCATTCATCGCCGATATGGGGCCCGATAGCCTCAGCCTGCCCAGGAACGTGCGGATTCACAGTCGGGGCCCTGTCGTCGATCTATTATCAAGCGATCGCAAACATGGATTACGGGGGCGTGGATTAGCGACGGGTCCCGTTTTCATTAGAAATTGCGGATTTCCGCCGCCGAACGAGGCTGCACCGGCCGCATTTTGGGGAGGGCACCTCCCCCGATCTATGGATTTGGCGACCGCGCGCCAAATCCATGGATCGCTGATCCATGCTTGCGCGCCCCCGTTATTAGCAATGTATCGCCGATTCTGGGCCGATGTGTCCCCCTCTCTATCGTTGCCCCTCACACACAAGCCAGCCCCGCAGAGCCCCAGAAGGGCGAATGGTCGGCCGTCCTCCTCTTCTCGAGCCCGCGTCCGTTTGGGAGCCCTGGCCGTCGGGGGGGGCCCTTCTGTGCTGGGCCGATTTTCCACCACCATGACCACAGGTAGGAGAGAGATGAGGAGGAGGAGGAGGAGGAGGAGGAGGAGGAGGAGGAGGAGGAGGAGGAGGAGGAGGAGGAGGAGGAGGAGGATCTCCCCATCCTCCCTTCTCCCCCGTCCTACATATGGTAGTGGTGGTGGAACATTGGCCCATCATTCAGGAGCCCCTCGGCGGTGAAATTCGAACCCTACGGTGCCGACCAGCGGCGACCCCGCCGCCAGCGTTCAACGTTGAACGCCGCCCGTCGCCCGGTGTCGGCCCATCTTTGAACGAGCTGACGTTTCGGCAGCGGCCGCTTGTTCGAGGTGGAACACCGAGCGCGTTCCACTACTCGCAAAGTGCCTACCCGCAAGCGTTCGAAACACGTGTGCGTTCCTTGATGTAGGATATCGCAGACCCACCGCGGCGGATCCAGGCCATTTGCGAGTAGTTACTCTGCGAGTAGTGGGCCGCGCTTGTCTCGTGAAACGATCCCCGCGGCGTCGGGGACCAGCGCCGGGGCTGGCACGACGCGAACCTGCCGTGCCCTTGCCGATCAGCGGTTCAGGCGACCCGGCGGCGGGGGGAGGGTTCGAGATTCGTCGAACACGTGGCGAGATCCGAACCCTGCCCCGCCTCCCCTCGTCAAGTCAAGTCCGGTCGAGGAGCCCTACGGAGGCCCCTCGCTCCGCAAGCGGAGTCGGAGGGCATGAGACACTACGGCAATGAAACGCGCACGCAAAGTAATTGGCTGATGCAAATCGGTGCAACGTAATCGGCACATCAGGTGTACCACGACGTGTGGTTCACGCAAAAGCTCTCTATTTGCTGCCAGGGGAGGCGCTGTTGGCTGTGGATAACGTCAATGAGAGTCGTGCCGCGCTCGTGCTGCAGATGATGGGCTTGTTTTCCACCACCACCACCATAAGTTGGAGGGGGAGGGGGTCCTCCTCCTCCTCCTCTTCTTCTTCTTCTTCTTCCTCCTCCTCCTCCTCCTCCCCCTTCCCCCTCCAGCTTATGGTGGTGGTGGTGGTGGAAAACAGGCCCTATAGCAGAAGCGCGTCTACACTGTCTGTCCATGGCGGGTGGGGGTTAGCGTTCGGACGCTGCCGCCTGCAGTCGAGGCGTCGAAGGACGGGCCGCTCTGGTCTCTGGAGGGGCTCCGTCGTCCGGGACGTGCACGAGGCCTAGCCTTAAATCGGGCCCGTCCCTCTACAGGAGGAATGTTCAAAGATAGTCATACATAATCTGGGGACGTTTTTTTTTGGTGTGGGGGGGGGGAGGTATATATATATATATGTATAGATATATAAACAACCAAAACAACATTTTCAAGATTCTTTGTTAGTTTTGTGTTCGTCCTACATAACCCCTGTAGGGGGACAGGCCCGACCTGAGCCTAGTCGGGGAGCCCATTGGTGGCCGAAGCTCGCCGCGGCCAGGAGAGGCCCTTCGTTCCTCACCTGGCGTTTCTCAGGGCAGCGCGTCGACCTGTGAGCCTCGGGAGCCACCCGGGCCTTTCCACTACAGTGGGGGGGCCCATGCCAAGAATCGGCGCGAACGAGATGGGTGCGAAAAGAATGGGTACGATGCCCAGCAGCAGTTCCTGTTCATTTTGAGCAGGACTCGCTGTCCGCGCCGCCGCGGCCTGTGCCCATTTTAGACAGAAGGCCGCCTGCCCAACAGCGGCCGCTGTTGGTTTGGGACAACATTTTTTGTTGGGCATTGTGCCCATCTTTTCCGTACCCATTTCGGGCGTCAAAACAAAAAATCACCCTGCTTGCCTCCAGGGTGCCCTGGGTTTCTTGGGTTTGGATGGTTCTGCTGTGGAAGGCGTGACGTTCCCACAGCACAAGCCGACCCGGGCTGAAAGCTAGCCTGGTGCTGGCCCCGTCCGCGGGATCAGTCTCTTCTTCGAACAACACACACCCATACCCATAGGGAGGACTGGCTATGGATCTGGGTGCGGCTTGTCGGACCCTGGGGGAGGCTCCCGTTCGAACGGGGACCCCCATCCGACAACACGCACCCATAGCCCCCTCGGTCCCCCCTATGGGTATGGGTGCGCGTTGATCGTTCGTCAATCCAGGCAGTTTTTTTTGATGGCCCTGGGCCTCGACAAGGGCCCCAGAGCCTGGGGGATAGTCGGGGACGAAGAGCGCGCGCTATTTTTGTTTGTTTGCTGTTCGGTCCGCGACGCTTGGAAGTCGGGGCCTTCCTCCCCCACGAGCGACTCCTGGACCTCTCCAGGGTGGCGCTCTGGCCAGACTCTCGAGGGAAATTTAGCCGTGGCGACGAGGACGTCAAAGTCCCTTCCTGCCCTTCCTTCCTTCCTTCCTCGATCAGGGGCGCCGCCGCCGTCGTCGTCGTCGTCGTCGTCGTCGTCGTCGTCGTCGTCGTCGTCGTCGTCGTCGTCGTCCTGGTCGTCGACCTCGTCCTCGTCGTCGTCATCCTCCTCGTCTGCTTCCTCTCCCTCTTCCTATTCCGACGAAGATCGTCGACGACGGACGTCCGGCGACGGGGTCCCCAGGCCATGGGGTTCCCGTGTTCTCGAAGCTCCCCCCCACCCCCCCGAGCCAGGCTTTAGTAGTGCCCTGGGGCCGGTAGGCCCTTATCAGCGCTCCGAGCCACTTTCTAGACCCGAGGGGGCCCCCAGGACGGCCCTACACCTTAGGCGATGCTTAAGAAAACCTACGTTTTCGGCCAGAGTCTTGATTATTCTTAACTGTTCAATGTAAATCCCAAGATTTTGATAGAAGTTCTGGGTTTTTATTCCACTTCTGAGACTCTGAATTTCTTAACCCATGGTTTCTTAAGCATTTCGCAGGGTGTAGAGTTAAGTCGGGCCTGCCCCTCTACAGGAGGAACGCTCAAAAATAAAAAAAATAGTCTGGGGACGATGTTTGGACTATTTCGGATCATCTTTGGAGTATTTTTGGAGAATTTGATTTTTCGCCCGAAATCCGCCTGTAGGGGGACATGTCCGACCTAACCCCGGAGGACGGGCGCACAGGGGCCGCCTAGACGGACCAGCGTGGCTAAGGAGGCTCCTGGATGGCCGCAAGTTGGCCAGAAGAGACCCCAGTGACCGCGCGAACGGGTCCAACAGGACCCGCGAAAGGGCATCGACAGGCAAACCTTGTGGATTTTTCGAAGGATTCTGGTTCCAAGAGGCTTTCACGAGGGCCCGAGAGGCCTAAATCATTGAACAACCGTAGGGAACCATGAGCTTTTGAAGATCTCGCTTTTTCGTTTCTGATCGGCTTCTGAGGCTTCTGGATGGTTGGCCCAAGCCTGCCCCAAGAGCCCTAAAAGGCCACAAGACGGCCTCCCAAGCGCCCCAGAGTCTCCTATGACGGGCCCAGGGGCCTTCCAGAATGGCCCCCAGACACTTTCTGAAATCGTCAGACGGGCCAAGAGCGCCCCAGAGGAGCCCGAGGGATCCCCAAGACGGTCCACCGGGGCCCCCAGGGCCCTTCAAGATGGCCCCGAGACGGCCGAAGATGGCTTCAAGATGGCCCTCGAGACCGCCAGGACGGCCCAACATGGCCTCCAGACGGCCACGACAGCTTAAGATCGCCCCCAGACGGCCCCCAGGGGCCCTCAACAGGCTTCCAAGAGGTCTATAGGTTCCCAAGCCCCCAGGACGCCCAAGTCCTTCGGTTCGTCCTCCTATGTATCCTCAGGCAGAGGCCTCTCAAAGCCAAGAAAACTTGCGGCATTTCAGGAGCTCTGAGTGCAGCGTCTTTTCCTGGTTCCGATGGTCGTCCAGAATCATACGTTTCATCAGGCAAGGGTTCCTTGAGTCCCAAAGCACTCTGCTGCACCCAAGGCGCTCTAAGACTCGAAGCGCAGCGCTTTTTGACCCCCCAGGTCGGATGGTCGTCCTGGCTCCTACGCCTGACGCAACCGCCTTTGAAGTGCCGTACTAATTCGGAGCAAGCGTGCACATGTGCGCTAAACTTCTTGTGGGGCACGTTCCGCGTGAAGGGAGTGCGGAAGAAACCGGATGCCCCCGCGAGGCCGTAGTGGGAGCTCACAGTGGGGCACGATCCGTTGGAGGCATTCACCAGGGGGACGCCATGCGAAGCTGCTCCTTCGGCCATAGGTAAAACTTTTGCCAGGGCACGATCTGCGTCAGGGGTGTGCCGAACTAGGCGCGTGGATGCTGTGCGAACCTTGTCTCTGGGGCCCTCCGTAGGGCACGATTCGTGTGAGGCGCGTGCCGAAATGGGCGGGGGGCGTTATGCGAGCCTTGTCTCTGCGGCCGTATATGAAGCACCCTGTGGGGGACGATACGTCAGAGGGGTGTGCCGAAGTAGGCGCAGGGTCGGGATGCTACCCTTGTCTCTGGGGCCCAAAGAGGGTTTCAAACGCTCCAAGAGAAGCCCCTCACTACCAAAATCTTCTCAAAGCGGTTGATTTTGTTCTACATGTTGGTTCCTCAGGTTTCTCTCCGTCCAAATCGTGTTCCTGCTCTCTGTCATGCTGCGGAGGAGGACCAGATGATCATGATGATCAGGGGGAGGAGCAGGTGGAGGGATTGGAAGTGGAGGTGGAGAAGGAATTTTATAATGATGATAACGATGATCACGATTCTGATGACGCTGATGACGATAACGATGATGACGATGATGCTGCTGCTGCTGATGATGAGAACGGTGATGGTGATGGTGATGGTGGTGGTGATGATGATGATGATACTGTCGATGATGATGATGATGATGATGATGATGATGATGATGATGATGATGATGGTGATGCTGCTGAGGATGCTGTTGATGATGATGCTGACGATGATGCGGCTGATGATGATGGTGATGATGATGCTGCTGATGCTGCTGCTGATGATGATGATCATGCTGACGATGACGATGACGACGAGGATGCTGATTATGACGATGATGACGGCGACGATGATGATGATGCTGAGGATGATGATGATACTGATAATGATGATTCTGATGATGATACTGATGCGTATGATGATGATGATGATGATGATGATGATGATGATGATGATGATGATGATGATGATGATGCTGATGATAATGATGATGATGATGCTGATAGTGAGGCTGATGACAACGCTGATGATGATACTGATGAGGATGAGGATGAGGATGAGGAGGGTTAGGATGATGAGGAGGAGGAGGGAGCTGAGGACGATGAAGATGAGGATGTTGCTGATTTTAATGACGCTGATGCTGATGCTGATGCTGCTAATGGTGCTGGTGCGGATGCGGATGCGGATGCTGATGCGGATGCTAATGCTGATGCTGCTTCTGACGCTGACGTTGATGATGCTGATGATGCTGATGAGGATGCTGCTGTTGCTGATGATACTGCTGATGACCATGCTGCTGCTGATGATGATGCTGATGATGATGCTGATGATGCTGATGATGCTACTGATGATGCTGAGGATGAGGATGAGGATGACGATGGTGATGATACTGCTGATGACGGTGATGATGATGATATGGTGGCGGCACTGGCTATCATTATGCTGATGATAATGCTGATGATGGTGATGGTGATGATGGTGATGGTGATGGTGGTGGTGATGGTGATGATGATGATTATGCTGCTGAGGATGATGATCCTGATGCTGAAGATGACGACGGCTACGACGATGATGATTGTGACGATGGTGTTGCAGCTGCTGCTGATCATGATGATGGTGATGATAGTGATGTTGTTGTTGATGATGACAATGGTGACGATGATGATGATGATGCTGATGATGATGATGATGATGATGGTGATGGTGGTGGTGGTGATGGTGGCGACAATGATAATGATGCTGATGCTGATGATGATGATGAGGATGGTGATGATGAGGGAAGATGATGGTGATGATGATGATAATGATGATGATGCTGCTGCTGATGATACTGATTATGACGATGATGACGATGCTGATGCGGATGATGATGGTAATGATAATTATGATGATATGATGCTGATGCTGCTGCTGCTGCTGCTGATGATGATGATGATGATGATGATGCGGCTGATGATGCTGATGATGGTGACAATGGAGATGCTGCTGCTGCTGCTGATGATGATGATGATGATGATGATCATGATGATGAAGTCGACGATGATGATGATGCTGGTGACGATGATATTGTTGTTGTATGTATTTGTTGTTGTTGATGATGGTGATGATGATGACTGAGATGCTGACGATGATGATGATGATGATGATGATGATGATGATGATGATGATGATGATGATGATGATGCTGATGCTGATGCTGATGCTGATGCTGATGATGATGATGATGATGATGATGATGATGATGATGATGATGATGATGATGATGATTATGATCGTGATCGTGACGGTGAGGGTGATGGTGATGAAGATGATGAGGGAGGAGGGATAATTACGGTCAGGAGGTTGAAGGGAGGGCTGAAAGAGAGATTAATGATGCGTCGGCGGAGGAAACGGAGTAGAAGGAGGATATTCCCATCATGTTTGTGTGGCACGACTTATGCTGGAGTCCTGTTGGAATCCGTGTCGGGAACGCTCCCCCCCCCACGCCTCACTTTCTGCTAAAGCACGCGTGAAGGAGGAGGAGGAGAAGGAGGAGGAGGAGGAGCAGGAGGAGGAGGAGGAGAACGAGGTGAGAAATGGGGGGGAGGCGACCTACGAGTTTGTCTCACTCAACTTTCCTCTCTCCTTCCTCCTCCAGGTGGGTGGACGGAGGCGAGAGAGATGAGAGGAGAGGAGACGGCGCAGAGATTGGGGAGGCAAGGTAACGGGAGGAATAGGAATACCACTTGAAACGGATCGAAGCACTTGCAAGACAGACATGGCGACACGCATCTATCGTGTCGACATGTTGGCCTGTGTTGCGCTAGAACCTAAATGCGCGAAGCGCGCGCGCGTCGTTCTAGTCGTTCGAATGCCTTGTGAGGCTCACGGAGGCCTCCCAGGGTCTTTGGGCGCCGCACCCAGAGACGTCTGGGCGCTCCTGGATGCCAAATGAGGGCCGAGGGCGCTGGAGAACCTGGAGGCCGGGTCGACCGAGCGATGAACCGATCACGATGGAGTTTAGGACGACGAGGACAGGGACGGCGACGGCGGCGGCGGCCACAACGACGTCGACGAAGGCGGCAGCGGCGGCGGCGACGTCCGCGACGACGACGACGACGAAGATGCCCCCCAGGCGATCCTGTGTGAGCCATTGGGACGCCAGTGCGCCGGGGGGTGGGCGGAAATCGCCTTCAACCACAGCAAGGTGCTCGGGCTGGGCACGGAGGCCCCGCTCGGCCACGCTGGACGACGACGGCGACGACGACGACGACGTCTGGAAGCCTCCGAAGGTCCGAAGAAGAGCAACAAGCACAGAAGAACCTTGGCACTCCTCGATCCTCGATCCCCAGGCGGCGGCGGCGGGGGTTGGCGGCGTGCACAGGGGGGTAGGGGGAAGGGGGGAAGGCTTTTTAGAGGCACCCTTGCTTCTTAGAAGGCGCGGGCCTTGTTTTTTGATGTGGGGCCCGCGCTTTTTAAGAAGAGCGGCGGGGGTTGGCGGCGAGCAAGGTGCTCGGGCTGGGCACAGAGGCCCCTTTTGGCCACGCTGGACGACGCCGACGCCGACGCCGACGCCGACGCCGACGCCGATGCCGACGCCGACAACGACGCCGCCGACGCCGACGCCGACGCCGCCGACGACACCGCCGCCAACGCCGGCGCCGACGGCGCCGCCGACGCCGACGACGACGAGTCGTTTTCTGACGGTCCCGGGGGCCCGTCGAGCGCATCAGGGGCCGCAGGATCGCGAGGAGCTCCCGGGGCCCTCCCCCTCCAGGTCCCGCTCGACCTCACGCCCTCACGTGTCGGATTCGGGCGAATGGGTCCTTGGCAAAGGGGTCTCGAAACTGTGCGCCATCGTTCGTGCGATCCTTCGTGCGGGGTGCGCACCTCGTTCCATATCAGCGCGGGGCTGCCACGCGCCATGCGCCACAGCATGAGCTACTGTATTTTTTGGCCCCCCCCCCATTACGACACACAACCCCCCTTTGCCTGGAGCCAAATGTGGTCCGCCCCCCTCTTCGTGTGGCCCGCTCATATCTTCGACGGCAGAAACACAAACTTTTTGGCGCTCCGCGCGGATTTCTTGGATCTGCGCTTGAGCGCTCTGGCGGCGCCTCCGGAGCCGCCCCTGGCGCGCTCCGCGCGCCAGGGAGGGGGAGTCCAGCGCAGATCCAAGAAATATCCGCGCGGAGCGCCCAAAGTTTATGTTTAAGTCGGGCCTGTCCCTCTACAGGGAGAATCTTCCCAAATAGTTTCAAAATAGTCTGGGGACTATTTTTTGAGCATCTTTGGGCACCTTTGGAGTATTTTTGGGGTACTTTTGATCTTTCGTCCAGCATCCCCTTGTAGGGGGACAGGCTCGACCTAAGTTTCTCTTCATGTTTACTCCCCTGCGAGGGGCCCTCGCCAGGCCCCGGGGCCGTCGAGGGGCCGCTCGGCGGGAGGGGCCGGTCCCGAGGAGGGGGGTGCAGTCCTCCGGGGGCCCACGTGGCGCAGAGGAGCACGGCGCCGGAGTTTCGGGGCCACCTAGGAAGGCACCGTCCAGCAGTCTTCCTCCTCCTCCTTCTCCTCCTCCTCCACCTCCTCCTCCTCCTCCTCTTCGTCTTTCCCCTCCTCCTCCCCCTCCTCCTCCTCCTCCTCCTCCTCCTCCTCCTCCTCCTCCTCCTCCTCCTCCTCCTCCTCCTCCTCCTCCTCCTCTCCCCTCCCCCTCCCTCCTCCTCCGCCTCCTCCTCCTCCTCCTCCTCCTCCTCCCCTCCTCCTCCACCTCCACCCTCCTCCTCCTCCTCCTCCTCCTCCTCCTCCCTCCCGCCTGGCCCTGGGGCGGAGCGCGGACAGCCCCGATGAGGGCGAGTCCGACGCCGAGCCATTCTGATTGGGGCTTGGCCCCGCGTTTAGCGCAACCCATACCATACCATACCCTCCTCCTCCTCCTCCTCCTCCTCCTCCACCTCCTGCTCCTCCTCCTCCTCCTCCTCCCCTCCTCCTCCTCCTCCTCCTCCTCCTCCTCCTCCTCCTCCTCCTCCTCCCCCCCCTCCCCCTCCCTCTCCTCCTCCGCCTCCTCCTCCTCCTTCACCTCCTCCTCCGCCTCCTCCTCCTCCTGCCTCCTCCCTGCAGGGCTCATGTCGATGCAATTGATACGACTCGACGTGGATTCTGGCCAGCCCGATCCGATTCGATTCGGGTCTTCCGACAGTTCGGTGCTGCCCGATGTGCGCATGGCGCTGTTGTGCGTGCTGGCGCAGTCGATCCGATGCGCAGTCGATCCGATGCGGTTTCGACTCCGCGCCGATGCGGCCCGATCCGACGCACGTTCCGACTTCACGCTTCGACTTCACGATTCGATGCTGATTGATCCTGCCCTGAGCGGGTTGAGGAAGCCGGCGTCGGACCAGGAGCCGATCTCTGCGACCATTTGCGAACCCGAAACCTGCGGCTCCGATCGACGCTAGAGCCTCGGACACCCCCGCGGGGCTTCGCTCGGCTGCAGACGTCCTTCAAGTTCTGAACCTTGGGCGGTTTTTCAGGAAGCCCACCTGCACGGGTAGGGCTCACACGTGGTTTCAGCCACGCGCGGAAGGGGGGGGTGTCGGGGGCGGCCAAGTGGAGGGTGAGGATTAGGTGGGGGTGGATATCATGGCGGGAGCCATGATATCTCCCCAGATTTCATGGCCCCTCTTTTTATTTCTATACGTTCCCTGGCCCACCGCTGGGCCGCGCACATGCCGCTGGCCATGATTTGCGCCGCCCCCTCTTGGACGCCCCCCTCTTGGCCGACCCCGAGCAGGGGGAGGGTGGCAGGCTTCTTAGGAGCGCCCCTGTTGCTTGGAAGGCGCGGGCTTTGTCCACAGGTGCAGGGCCGGCGTCTCTAGGAAGCAGCTTCCTTCAAAAAGAAGCCTTCCCCCCCCCTCCCCCCTACCCAGACATCCGACGTTTCGATTTCTTCGAGACACGGCCCCCCGACCTCCCGACCACTTCCCCGGGACCGCTTCTTCATCCCGAGCCGTCTTCTGACGGTCCCGAGGCCCAGCGAGGGCCCCGAGAGGCCGCCAACGACGAAAACCCTCCGCCTCGATTTTTTTGTTGTTCGAGCCGCCTGATGTCTGGGTGTGTCCCCCCCCCGCCCTCTGCGCGCCGCCAACCTCCCCGCTGTGCGCTCAGGAGGGAAAAAACGCACAGACACAATTAATCGTCGACCCCCAGGAAAATACGGGAACATGTGGGAAGTGGGGGGAGGACAAAAACCCAGAGAATATGGGAAAATAGGGGGAATCCTTTTATTTGTGTGTATTTATTTGTGTGTCCCAGGGCCCCTTCAGGCTGGGCCGCCAAGAGAAGCCGCCGTCGGACCGCGTGCCGATGCCCACGCTGGGCGGGGCGTGGGGCGTGGGGCGCTGGCCTCCCCGCCCTGCCGCGGGAGGTCGCCCGTGGGGCCCGGCGGGGCCGGGCCCTGGCGTGCAGTCGGGCCCGTCCCTCTACAGGAGGAGTGTTCCCTAGAATCGCCCGTCCTCCTCCTCCTCCTCCTCCTCCTCCTCCACCTCCTCCTCCTGCTCCTCCTCCTCCTCCTCCTCCACCTCCTCCTCCTCTCCCTGGGTACGTATGCCCCCTGCTCACGGGGCTCCCGCTCAGGGTGAGGGGCGGCTGTCGCTCGCCTGCCGCACCGCGTCGCCGTCGCGGCTCCTGCCACGCGTCCATGCGCGGCCTTCCACGCGAGAGAGCTTCACGCCCTCCACGCGAGAGAGTTCACGCCCTCCACACGCCCTCCACTCCACACGACGAGGAGTGTCCCAAAATAGTTCAAATCACATAGTCTGGGGACGTGTTTTTTGCCCATCTGTGACTATTTCTGATTATGGTTCGACTATTTGTTATCCGCCGTCCAAAGTCCGCCTGCAGGAGGGCACGCCCGACCTAACCCTGACGCCCGCCCTCTGGCTCGTCGCCGGCATGAGCCCAGGCCGAATGGCCGCCGCGGAAGGCTCGGGGAGCCTCCCCAGACATGCGCCCAGCTTTCGGCTCGTTTTCTTGTTTGTGTGTGTGTGTGTGGGTGTGTGTTTTCGTTTTTTATGTTAGTATGTTTGTTTTTCGATTGATTCGGTTATTAGGTATAGCACGGAGCACTTGTTGTGATGGTTGCCAGCATGCCTGTCATGCTCGTCTCTGGGGTCCGACATGACTGACAGAGGCAAGTCCCACTTCCGCCACCGCGTGCACAGAGGGGTCGCGAGGCGGATGGCCGCCTCCGAGAGTGCCTGCAAGAAGAACCCAGACATCCGATGTCGTGATTTTTTCAATGCTGGGTCCCCAGACGTCTCGACCCATTCCCCGGGGCCGGTTTTTCATCCCGAGTCGTTTTGTTGACGGTCCCGAGGCTCGGTGAGGGCCCCGAGAGGCCGAAAACGGCGAAAAACCTCCGTCGTGATTTTTTCAATGCGCTGGATCTCTGGGAAGGTCTGGCCAGGGCGTCCAGGCGACGTGCGGCCCTGTGGGAGGAGCCGCCGCGGGCGACGGGGACAACGCGCCTGGCGGGCCGCCGCAGTGGGCTCGCCCCCCGCGCTGCGAGGCCGACTGGGAGTACGAGCGGGCCTGCCTCTCCGACTCGGTCTGCCAGTTCGGCAGCCA